CCTCCAAAAAAGAAAAATAGTGGACCAGTTGAGACAAGTCACCATTCAAAACAGCTGACCCCAGGTGGGAAGTTCCAGAGATGAAAGCATTAAAACCTCCAGGACACGGTACCAACCCATTGATTTTCTCTCAAATACCTGTTGATCTTCAATATACCGAGCCATGCCACTATAGAGAGAAACCAATGTTCTTACCAAGAAAGAATCTGGTGGACGTCAGTCAGAATGCAAACACAATGAGAGCCTTTTGGTTTGAGTTTTGTTTTCAAGTATATTCAGAATTTCAAATTACAAATGTCTTTTTTTTTCTTTTTTTTTTTTTGGTGAGGCAATTGGGGTTAAGTGACTTGCCCAGGGTCACACTGCTAGTAAGTATCAAGTGTCTGAGGCCGCATTTGAACTCAGGTCCTCCTGACTCCAGGGCCGGTGTTCTATATCCACTGTGCCACCTAGCTGCCCCCGGCTAAATGTCTTTGAGAGGCATAGAGGATAGAGACTTGGCCTTTAGTAAGTCCTGAGATCAAATCCTCCCTCTCAAACATACTGGGTATTAACCTGGGCAAGTCTCAGTCCCCAGGTTTCTCTTTAAGACTAGAAATGGCAGAGCAGCTACTAGAGGGAATTTGCTCATTGGAAGGTTTGCAAATGAAATCAAGTGTTTGGGCCAGCCCCAAAATTCCATCTTTAGGTTGAAAGCTAATGGGCCAGGTTTTCCCAATATGTGCACTATTTCCTCCTTGTAAAATAGACACATTGACTCTCTCAGGCCATTATGATACTCTCTTTTTTAAGTTATCACCTCAGTGAATGGAGATATACCCTGCTGACCCAAAAGAATGAATGTGTTTTTTCCCAGAAAGTTTTCACCACTAAGGAACAATTTAAGTCCTTGGAGAATCTGGTATAATTTGCTGGTAACATAAGTATCACACCACAGCATAGACGGATGTGAGGAAGACTCATTGGTACTGCCTTACAGTTGTTTATGATGTTTTAGAGGCAAGTTAAAAATCTAACAAATAAAAAAGATTGCTTAAAAATTATACTGAATCATTAGAAATAGTTCTGCAATATAAATCTCACACGCTTTCTGATTTATAGCCACTGGCTGTCTTTTATGGGTAATTTTTTTAACATCTTCAGAAGAAACTTTAATAATGCATTTTTAAAGTAGTGTCACTACTGAACCTTTGGATGATTAAATACTATATGATATTTCCTTCATCCAAGCTGGTTTATAAAGGAAAGCAAAAACGACAATAAAAGAAATGTACCAATTTATTCTCTACTAATAAAGTATTGAACATTTAAGAGGAAAAAAAGTATGAAATATTGGAATGCAACACAGCAATTCCATTATCCATTGCAGTTTTGGATCATATACTGTATATAAAGAGTAATTACTTCATTCATTGGAGACCACAGTGGAGGGAGGCAGTTTGTGATAAAATAGATTTTAATATAAAATTTCTATTCCAAAGCATTTGCTTTTCAAACCGTTGCTAACATTGCAAAGCATCTTCTTGCTTTGCAGAAGACACTTAAATTAAGAGTGGGAAGCCAAAACCAAACCAAAACAAGCCAACACAACACCAGCTGATTATCAGAGGGTTTAGTTTACTTGCTAACTCTGAAGTTTTGCAGTGTTTGTTAAAAATGGTCTTTATAGATGAATTTTGAAGAATGCTTTCTCAGTTAGCAAAGGCCCCATATAGAATGTACATTAATGACATCTAAAATGATAGTTTCTAGAATGTTTCTTGCATTCCATCATCGAATCAAAGCTCCCAAATTTCACTTCCTTTGTCAATTATTTGGCATAGTGCCAGTCGTACAAAAGTTTTGGGATGAAGTTAATAATAGGCATAAGGAAAGATAGACCACAGTACCTGAAATCAGTTTCTTTTCTTTTTTTAATTTTTATTGATATCTTTTGTCTTTACATTTCCTAATTTCCCCTCCACCCTTAACCCTCTCCTCTCCCAGAGAGCCATCCCTTATAACAAAGATTAAAAAAAGAAATAGAAAGAAAACAAATTCAGCAAAGCTGATCAATACATTAAAAATTGCTATTTGATGCAACTGCGTATCTGCTGACTCCCCCACCCCAACCCCCTTCAAAGGTATTCAAAGATATGAATTTCCAAAACCTTTGAAGATGAAGAGACTTTCCCCTACCTTTGTTGTAGTGTTTCTTCAGATAGAGCCCTTCCACCACAGATAGAATTGAAAGGGCCAATTATAAGAAAGATATGAAACATTATGCCTTATTCAGGAATTTTCCTAGCTTATAAATGTTATGCTTTCATCCTAATTTTGATTTCCTTTTCAGAGAGAAATCATGGAGATGCTTCATTCTATTTCACATGATTAAACTTAGTTTCAATTTAAGAAAGTAAGAGCCAGAGGCCAAGGTGTTTATTGGCCCAGAATATGTTATGAAGTATACAGGAAGTAGTCTCTAGTTATTTTTATTCTAAAAAACATAATTATATAATTGAGTCAATTTTTTTTGTTTGTTTTAACTGGAGGAAGAAAAAAGATGAGAGGTTGAGGCATCCATGTTTGTACTGGCATGTGACTTCTGAAGAGAGTAACATGGCATAGGTAGTATTTGCTTACCTTACTGTCCGTGAGAAGTTTTATGGAATGTATCTACTCTCACTGGCTAACACTCCATTTAGACATAAGTGAGGTGAATAATATGTTTTGAGGTCTCCCTTGGAAATTTAATTTCAGTATGACTACATGGCATCTAGTCATAAATTAACTCCCATGTCACTGGCCACAGTGATTTCACCTCAGTGGCAGAGAGCATACCAGTTGCCTTTATATATTCTCTCTGTTTTGAGGTGGCTGAAGTCCAACTGGGTGAAATGTTTCATGTGTAAAGTGCCCAGGGTTCCTCTAAAATGGATAGGAAGTCAGCATGTAAATGTAGCATTATTATTCTAGTTCTTCTGGCTCCTTCCAATAAGTACTGACTGCCACATAAAGAGGTCTTAAGCTTCCTGGCACAATATTCAAGTGTTCAAAGGAAGTCAAGTTAATGAAATCGGATCTACATTTCTGTAGACATTCACACTGTCGTGGAAGCTGGATTGGATGGTCTCCACAAAGCCAGCTGGGCAAATTTGGGTGGTACTAGATTCCAAAGCAGAATTTCAAATGGTGGAAGGACCACCACTAGTCCTTCCTTCCGCAGGGGCCTGAATTTCATTCCAGGCCTTCTTGTTCTGTCTGGCTGAGCTTCTCTTCCCAGAGCCCCAGGGCTTGGCCTACTTCTTTCCTTGGATTAGGTTTGGGCTATACCCTCTCTTCTATCAAGATCTTCCTTTAAGAAGACAACAGAGATTATCTAGTATATTAAGGACATAAACCCAAGGTTTTTAATGTAAGCAATCATAGAGAACCTAGTGGGCAGAGGGGGGAGGAGAAAGTAGGGCAAAGTAAAAAATAACAGGCAAACATTACAAAGGGGAAGTGTTTAAATCTACTGGAATAGGTAACCTCTGGTCTTCCATGAAATGTAAATAGTTAGGTTTAATAATCCTTATCTATTTTTCTCTTTTTTCTCCTTGGCCTCCTTCTCCCACTCCCTCCAAGTCTCAAGAGTTTGCTCTACCCAAAGAGTTTGCTCTTTTTACGCCCAGCTGGATTTCTGCTTACACTACCCATTTCAGGATCCCCTTTTGATGAGGAAACAAGTCCCTCCAGTTTCCCTCACCTTCACTTTCTAATGGTGGAAACTCCACCTACTATCCACCACTCCAGGTCTCCACACCTTCACTTTCTAATTGTAAGAACTCTCTACCCAGTGGACAATGGGTTTTCAGGGGCAGTCAAGTCTAATTTACATTTCAAGGGAGACCCTGGTGTTGCTTACCTTTTCAAGTTCCCTAGCTCCAGGCTGGTAAAGTCAGAAGTCAATTCCTCACTTCCCTATGGGTCAATTACCAAACTCCCCCAGGTATTTTAACCTAGCTTGAATTTAGTATAAACCCTGTGCACTTCTGAATTACAGAGAATTGAACATGGTAAACTGATTACTAATAGCCTATGCTACTGAATAAGATAAATGCTGTATCTAAAAGTGTTCAAACTTTACTATCTACCTGAGTTGCTCTGACATCTAGAGACTAACAGCCTCTACATATGCATTTTCCCCCTAATTGCGAGGTTTCCCTTTTACCACCCATTTCCCATTTTTCCTTTTTCTCTACTGCTGAATTTTCTGAAACTACTGCAAAATTTAGACTTCTGGGATTAAAATTGGGACAGGGAGCTCTGATGAAATAGAGAGGGACCTGAGGTTGGTCTAGGAGCTGGTTCAAAGAAATGGAGTTGGGGTTTATGATTCCCTTTGTATTAAGAGGAATGTTTTTGGAATTAAGAACCAGAGTATGAGCCCAGATCTTATGAGTTAGATCACTCTTAAACAATGGAAGAGCCAACTGCTTCTCTGTATTCTTATTTACCATTTATTCGTTATATGAAATAGAAAAAAAATAACAACAAAAACTGAATTCAAAGGACTTGGGTTCAGTTCTCACCTTTGCTATTTACAATCTGTCACTTTGGGCAAACCACTTTCCCCCCTTTTCCCTCTTCTGATATTTTCAAATCTATTAAATGAGAGGGTTAGGCTAATAAACTTTTTTCCACTAGTGACCCCTGCAGCACTTCTTAAACCCCATATAGGGTTGTGACCCACAGTTTAAGAAGCACTGGAGTAGATAATGTTAGTAGAAGGTCCATTTCAGTTCTAAATCCTGTGATTTAGTATGTAATTATGCTTTAGCAGAATTTACATATTGATAGGAGCCTTGTCCACATTACATTTAGTTTATATTCATCATATATACAACATATGCATATACATATAGCTATTTCCAAAAGAAAAAAAATTACAAGGTCAATTCATGGAATTCGAGCACAAAAGAGTACCCTTTTCTCCCCCGATCCTTAACATGGAATCTCTCTTTTTAATTATGTTTTAGGACAGTGAAAAAAAAGGATTCATAAATAAAATCTATGCCATCCAAGAGGTGTGTGTCAGCGTCCAGAACATCCTTGATGAAGTGGCATCCTTTGGAGAGAGGATAAAAAAGTGAGTGCTGCTGACGCATGGGGCCTGGCCTCCTTTGGGATAGGACTCCCATTTGTTTGAGGGCAGAGTGTCACGTGGTTTTCTTGGCAGGGGACTTCTGGGCGATCTATTGCTTGGGCTCATCATTATTTACTTTGCTTTCTGCCAACCCTGGGATTTAGGAGGTTTCTGTCATTTTCATTCTGAAATTCAGCACATATTGGTTGGAATGGAATCATAGCTGCCACTTTGAAGTAAGAAATAACACTGCCCTTAAGTTTAGCACATTTAAAAACCAAAGTACTTTGTTCCTAAATGGAATAGAGATTGTGATAGGAAAAAAAAATAATAAACTGCTAAATAAGGAATTCAGGTATTCAATATATGTTTGCACTTTATTGTTGGGCAAGTTTTCTTCCTATTGAAGTTATCTTGAATACAAAAAGGTTTATTTTATGTAGAGTACTGTGTGAGCAACTGTCTTCAGTTCTCCCCAGTTTCTGTAAATTAAACAGTGGAGGTCATAGCTGTGGGAGAAATATATTATCATCTTGTTGTTTAGATTATGCACACAAATTTTAGAACTTTTTGCAGTCTTTTTCTTAAACAAAATAAAAGCGGCTTAAGCTAGAATGAAAAAGTGGAGGCAGTTTTTTATTTTTGTCTAGTGTATTTAGTTTTGTTACAAATGTTTTAATTTACTGAAATACTCTTTATATAAACATTTTTTTAAAAAAGGAATGTAGATTTAAAAGGATTTGTTAAAACACTGTACTAAACATAAATGTTATTCCAGTCTCCATAATGACTGCTAACAGCCTATTCTAAGCAATGGTGCTATGTGGATGGATGTGTTTTCCTATAGTTTTCACTTATCTACTCATAGCTTTGTTTATTATTCCCATCCAGCAGATTCAGGATTTTAGGCTGACACTGACTTTGTCAGAAGCGTATTGTTTGACCTCAAGGTGTAAGCTATTCATCCAGTACCTTTTGTGTTACTGGGGGATAATATATTTTATTTTTAATAATTTCTTGTGTAATATAGTTCTCACATATGCATAGGTGCTGAGTTTCTTTTTGGGGAGAGGCAGAGTAATCCCAATAATTGTAGCAGTCTCCTCTCTCTCCCAAATTCACCTCCAAGCAGCATTCACTTGCAGATTTCCAAGGTCTTCTCCTCATCTAATTCAGATGTTATTTCCATCCCCAATAACCTTCCTTTCCAACCCACACAACAGCAGTCTACAACATACAAGATTCTATCTTGATAATGTGCATTTTCACGTTAACTATTGTTCTTTCCTTGGGCCTGCTATGTCAAAGTCTGACACTTGGAGATAGAAAAACCGTGATTTTCAGTACAGAAAACTTTGAATTATTTGCTTTAAAGTTGCGGGAAGGAGGAGAAATGAGGTTGCTATTTTCCCCCCTCTAACATTTCTGAATGGTGGGAGGCTGCCACCATGGAACAGGTGTTTGGCCAGAAAATGTACGGGGCCACTTGAAGAAAAAGGCTGAGTCCTGGCTATAGAGCAGTGTGGAGGACATCTGGACTTTGCAGAGCTTTCCATGGTGTGGGCTAAATGGCAATGTTTCAAAGCCTTGCCAACATTATGATTTCTGCACAAAGAAACTGTGGGGTGCTGAAAAAGAGATGCTTCTCTTGGGACCAAACCAGTGAAAACAGTTTGTCCTGAAAGTAGTTTCACAAGATAGCAAAATCCCTTTGTGGAAACCATCTCTTCATTAAATCATCATTGAATGAAACTCATTGCATTCTTGAAATTAATCAAAATCTCTTCTCCCCCCTCCCCCATCTCTATCTTGTTTTCTTCTTGCCCTTCTCTCTCCACCTCTTCTCTGTTTCCTTTTTTCCTTCTCTTCTTTATCCCTCTCCTTTTGCCATCCCCTTGTGTCTTTCTCCTTCTCTCTCTCTCTCTCTTTCTCTGTCTCTCCATATCTCCCACCATTCACTTTTCTTTCTCCTCTGCAGGGAAGAAATACTTTGGAATAAGGTTCTTCACATTTTAATCTAGAAAAAAGGGCAATCCCCCCCTGCCATCCCCCCCTCACCAATAGTCACACTGGTGGAGACTGTCCTTTGCTATTTCTTTCCTTCTTGTTCCTCCAAGGGGATTAAGGCAAAATGCACAGAGCCCATGCTAGGACAGCACAGAAGGAGGTTTCCAGATTGGATAGTCGATGTCCTCACACATGGGGTAGTGTGATCGATAGCTCTGAGCTGAGCCACAGGAAGGCAAGCAGACCCTCAACCTTCTGTTCACTGCAGATCCAGGCAGGAGAAAGGAAACGAGCAGGTGTCCCTTGAGGAGAAAAGAAGTGATTCTACACCTAGTGACAGTTACATAATGTTCACTTTGGAAAGATGTCAAAATTGCTAGCGAAGAAAAAAGACAAACAAAAACAAAACAGCCAGACCATACCAATTATTTGAAGCAATGCATCCAAGATAATCCAACCATAGTATTTCAGCTCTTTTGCCAGAAAGAATTATATGATAAAAATGCCAAGAGAGAGAGAGAGAGAGACAGAGAGAGAGAGAGAGAAATCTAAGAAATAGCTGCCACATCCAATTTAGTTGACCCTCCCTCCCTTCACTAACTCAGCCTTTGGCATATCCTATGGGTTGGCCCTACCCTGCTACTCACACTCCAAGGGTAAGAATCCACGTTTCTGCCTTTCCAGAGATGAAGGACTATCATAAAATCCCTTTATTTCCTCAACAATCTGCATAAGCCAGATGCCCAACCTCTCTTTGCTGCGTTTTAGGGCTCGAGAGCCAGACAACAAGATATGTTAGTGCCCCTTTGGCAGTTTAACACTGGTAAGATGTTTTGAAGGATGGCATTATATATTTTAAAATGACGATAGAACTGGGTAACCATCCCAGGATGCTTCATGAAGTGTATCTGTATTCTTTATGCCCTTCCTCTTAGAAAGATGTCAGTGATTTTCCAGGGAACTGCTATATTACTACATGGGAGCTGGATCCTTAAAAATCACAGGGCCTTTTTATCTTCATTTCTGTATATTTATCTGTTCTTTCTTTCTCCTTTGTCTATGTTGCATATTAACTTTCCCCCTGCCTTAACTCACTATTTAAAAAAAAAGTTATTTTATTCCTTTCTCATTTTTGGATGCAATTCCTTATTTTTTAAAATTTCAGCCTTGGATCTATTCCCATTCTTTTTGCATGGGGGCAGAGGGAGGTGCTATTTTAAAAGATATCCTCTTTATTCTCGTCTTTTTTTGCTTCTGTCCCTTACCTTGCCATTCAACATAGGATTTTAGGTCTGGAAGAATCCTTAGAGGCCTTTTCTATCCTCTCATTTCACAGATGTGGAAACTGAGGCCCAAAGAAAGGGAGTCACAGAATCACAGAATCTCAGAATTAGAAAGGATTTCAGAAACCAGCTTACCTCACCCATACCCGATCAACGTGTTACAAAATCCCTATGAAATGGTCATCTCATTTTTCCTTAAAAACATCCAGTCAGTAGCAAACATTATTTCCTGAGCTCCTTTCCACTTTGTCTAGTCCTAATCCTCATCCACATGACAACCCTTCAGATAACTGAAGATAGCTATCACGCTCTCCCCTGCTGCCTACCAAGTCTTCTCTACTCCAAATTAAATACCCCCAGTTCTTTCAAGTGATCTTCATTCCCATGATCTTGAGATCTTTGACCATCCTAGGTATCTTCCTCTGGATGTTCTCTGGCTAATCAGTCATTTAGAGACTCAATAAATGTCACACAAATAGTGATGGGGCTAAAACTAGAACCCAGAGCTCACTTTTTTCAGTCTAATAATCTTGATGTTACACCATGGCGAAGTAGAAGTAGGAAGACATCACAGTCCATTAGTGTTCTCCCCACTCAATTTTCCTTCTAATTTATGGTCTTTCCAATAAAAATGCTTTTTTAAAAAAATCAACTCTTGTTTTCTAGAGGAAAATATTTTGTGGGCTTTTGAATTTTTGTAAAACTTTTGAACAATTCATTTTTCTTCTTTCCTTGACCTATATTTCTGAAATGCAACCAAAGGAGGAAGTACAGTGCCAGTTTGAGGGGAAATTTAGATGTTTCACAGACCAAAGGAGTCTCTCTTTATCTTCATACGTGTTACTTCCCTGGACACATGTTAACAAATTTTTGCACAGGAAGTATAAAAGGTTTGATGATAGACTTACAAGCATGTTTTATTATTACCAAGCATTAGAAAATATTGCTTTACATTTCTGTTTGAACAAGGGAAGAACAAGGTGAGTTTACTTTGGGTGGAGGAGACAGAAATGAAAAGGAGGGTCAAAGGTCTCTAGGGCATGTAGTATCAAACATACTTCCTGCAATGCTCCTCTCTTTAACTGGGGCAGAACCAGATTAAAATGATTGGGGAATAGATAACAAAATAAATAAAAATACAATAGAACATAGAAAATGTTGATATGACATTATCTTCATTTTGCAGTTTTAGGAATCTTTACTTGTGATTTAGTAGGCCCATTTCCATTTGAGTTTGATACCACCATGGAAGCCCACTAGGGTTCAGCTGGTAAAGAACGAAACCAGAGCTCACCGAATCCCAGTTCTGTACGGTCATTCTGCGTCTTAGTTTCCACCCCAGCCAGAAAGTGGTGGAGGCTAATTAGGCCCATTGTACAGATGGAAAGTCTGGTTATTATGTGCTTCATTTTTGGTTGAAAGTACAAAGTGATACGATTGCTGACATGTTAATCTTTCATTTAGCACATTCAACTGGACTGTCCCATTCTTAAGCTGGCTGGCAATTGCTGCTCTCTGTGTGTTCACAATCATCCTGTATTTCATTCCGCTGAGATACATTGTCCTTGTCTGGGGTAAGTAAAGCCCTTTTTTTAAAAACAAAACAAAACAAAACAAAGCAAAACTGTCTGAGCTACTTAGAACAAACTGTTTTTAAGGGATGAGTTATACGGTCAGTAGTTCTCAGTATTTATGGTCATGAAGCTGCTCCATGATGGAAAGAGACAGGTCAGTTAAAAATCACAACAGTGTAAAGATTTAGGCCTACCTGCAAAATGCATTTTTCTTGCCTGGCATTGTAGCCTTCATCATACTATAAACATGGGGCTGTGCAGATTCTTCATATATCAAAATGTAGCTTTGTCTAGATATTATTCTGATTTATTTTCACCACTTATACACCAACAGAGGCATTTCAATCTATATAGTGCATTTAGGACAATATGCTTTTTTTCCCCCCTATGGTACTTTATCATCTGATAGTGTATGCAAACGTGAAAGTGTATGTACATGAGAGGCTGTCTAAGAGGTCACCTTTAGGCTTCTGAAAAAGAACACACAGTATTTCACAGATGAGGAACGAGAAATCTGTTTTGTTTCTACTAAATCAGAATGTCTACCTCCTACACGCCTGTTTTCAAGATAATATTTCAGTCCTGCCTTGCTCATGTAGTTATTGTTAGTCAACAAGCATTTATTAAGCACCTACTAGGTGCCAGACACTATGTTAAGTGCTCCTTATCTACTGTTCCTAAGCCCAGACCCACTATTTGGAGGTTACCTGTTTCAGTGCTGTCTGGAGTTAACTTCTTTTTTCCTTTCTTGATAAAATTCATGGTTTGGAAAACTCAATTTTCAGCCTCCAAGGTCTACTACCATATAAACCCACCAAGTTAATGATTTCAAATAATCCTTTTTCTTTGCTTATATATAAATCAGTTAGAAAAAGGGAAAGAAACTGTATTGAAGGAGAATTGTGCCCTCCCCCCTCCTTGTTTCTAATATGAAACAAGGCACCAAAATGGGTCATGAACTTCCAAAAAGCATCTGGCTGTTAAAAGGAAAAAAGAGCAGAGGCAAAATGTAAAGAGTGCGTTTTTAGTATTTTCTTTTGTATTGAAAGAGCTTTATGACAATCTACCTGGATAAAATGATCAGTGGCATTTGGGATATTCTGTCTCCAAACTCAAGACTTTGCAAGTTTGAAGAGGCTTCCTTGTCATACCTAATGCAGACCTCAGTATCTCTGGCCATTCATTGCCTTTGACCCCTAAAAACCAAAACAAAACTCGAGCTTTTTTCTGGAATCCTACAATTTAAAGAAACTCCAAGCTATGACATTGTTCTTACCATAAGAGTAAAAGAGCAAGAGCAGTCCCACTGTATTTACTGAATGTTTAGTTCCTCATCTTTCATTCATTTCTATGATATTTAAAACAGATGCTGTTTTACTGAAGGAATTAGGGACAAGTGTCACCTTTGGGCAGTTTATTACCTCCAGCCCAGGTAGGGTCAGACTTGTCTCTGGCTTAGAAAGGAAGTATTACTAAAAAAAAAACAAAAACACAGAATAAAAAGGCATGTCTATATTCTGTGGCACACATTCATGAAATCTAGTTTCCTTTCATGGCCTCTTAAGGAAAATTTTTTGGGGCTGTTGTTTCATCAGATCGAATAGAAAAAGAATTGTATTTGATTTTGTTGCCCTTAGTGGGTTGTTGAAATATTAATCAGAAATTTGAGAACTATTCAGGCCACACCCCACATAAAGAGACAGAGACTGAAGTCAAATATTTCATGAAGGTGTCTGCCCATGTTTCACCTCCTGAATCCTTAGTTAAGAAATTGGAAATGCTAGTCATCTATTTCAATTCTCTTTAGACCAGTAGAGTTTATTTCATTTAAAGCACCCAGTGTGTACAATCCCAAATACTGTTAGATCCCTTTCCAACACAGATTATAGTGGGAATCAAAATCTTTTGAACTTTTAGCTTTCCCAGTTAAAAAAATAAATCCCCAAACTAACAATGGGTGCATTTTCTTTTGAGGATTCTTATTTTAATTTATAAATGACTTCCAGAGTTGTGGGTGTGTGAGAGAAGAGTTACCCTTCATTCCTACCAGGTGGATGTGGAGTAGCCCAGTTATAACAGTAGGCCAGAGGGAAGAGGTAACCCTTTAGACAAATGGTTATCTCACAAGATACATCTTCAAATCACTGCCAAGCATGTAAATAACTAGATACATTAGAGTGACTATCAGCCTGTCAAGCGCAGGAACTAATTTTTGCCCTTCTTTGTATCTTGAAGACTTAGCACAATGTAGGCAGCTTAAGAAATGCTTGTTGACTTGGGAAAAAAAAACCCCAAACAAGAAACTGTCAAATATTGGCCAGAAATAAATAAATAAAAATAAATAAAGATATTTTAATAATGTTTCAACCATCACTTTTCCAGGCATCAATAAATTTACAAAGAAGCTTCGGAGTCCATATGCCATTGATAACAATGAGCTACTTGACTTCCTTTCCCGAGTTCCTTCTGATGTACAAGTAGTGAGTAGGCTTTTGAAATGTTTTGATGTTATTAGTTGTTAAACTTAGATATGTTGTTCTGTACAGGTTTGTTACTGAAATTTTTTTGTAGAGTTCTACTACTGTCGTTGGTTTTGTAATATGGTGTGACTTTAGGTCTTGAGTTGTAGATTCTCTGTCCCGTTCGTTTTGAAATCCAGACCTTCAGTGCATTCCGTTTCATTCAGAAATAAGTCCTCACTTGGATTTGGCCTATGAGAACTTCCAGCTTACCTGGTCACAAGAAAAATGTTTGGAGAATGGGTATTCACAAGAGGGGATTGTCTAACCAACCTGCAAGGGGGATTGGGAATGTTCGGCTTCAGCTGGAGTTAGTTGAGGGGTATGCTGCTGCCTGGGGCCACCACCACCTGTAGGGAGGAAATAGGAATATTAGATTATGAAAACAATAAACTAGAAGACATTTAATGGGGAAACATTCCCCTCACTCTTTGGACAAGAATTGAGAGACTTGAAGAATCAAGCTTCCAAGTGGAGCTATTTTGAGGGGATGAGGAAGGGATTTTTGTTTTCTTTTCAAGTAGGGAGGCGGAGCGGTATAAAGGAAGAAGCACTGGAGTAGTCAGGAGACAAAGGTGGGAGTCCTAGCTTTCCAACTATCTAGCTGTGTGGCTGTGGGCAAATCCTTTCACTTCTTCAGAGCTTCAGTCTTTCATCAGTAAAAGGACTGAGTTGGGCTAGATCATTATAAATGGACCTCCAGCCCTAAAAACAATTGATGTGTGAAGGCCGAATGGCCGTTTTTCAGAGCCTCATATCACAAGGGCAGAAAGGGTTCCTCCTGATGATGAGAATGTTACCTTTTCCCTTATCTTCATGGGATCTACAATGCTGGTACATGGGCCAAGTTGAAGAAATGACTTTATTTCTTTATCTAGACTGATCTGATTCACTGGGACCATTTGGTTTAGTTTCACAGACACTAGAATGTAAGCCAAGCCTGAGCTTAAAAATGTATTCAGAAACAAACAAACAAAAACCCCCATGAAGTTGCAAAGAATTATCATCCAGGGCTTTTTTGAATACAGTTGCATGTGGCGATTTGTTGGGGTTTTTTTCTCCCCTCCCAATGTAGTATCTTGTGGTGAAGAGAAAAAGACCCTAGCCCATCACCAAAGTTTACATGAGTGCACTCATATATTTCCTGGCAGGATTTTCCTAATGCTGTTTTCCTTTTTTATTCCAGCTCTATCACTCCATTGTTTCTGCAGCCCAGCTGCAGATCCCATGCAGCTTGCATCAAGAGAACACCCCTCCTCCCTCCCCCAGGCACACTCTCTCATTCCTTTGCTTTTCAGTCTTTTGCCAGTAAGTGGCCACCTGACCAGTCTTTCTCTGAACTCTCTGTTTAAACAGGTGCAGTACCAAGAACTGAAACAAGATCCCAGTCATAGCCCGTGTAAAAGGAAGAAAAACAATCTTGGCTAGCCAGCTTCACGCACTGAGGAGACCAGCAGCATCTGTTTGAGAAAGATAAAAGAAAAAAAAAAGCCCCCAGCCTCAGCAACATTTCCTTCCTTTATGTTTTTATTTATTTTGTCTTTTTTTTTATCATGATGGAGAGAATCTGTAAATATTGTACAAAGGCATATGTCATTGAAAATATACTTCCGTTGTACAGAACCAGTTTGATAAGGGTTTCAAGTTTGGCTTCAGTTATATGAAACCCTTGCTAGCAGTGGATGAAAGTATAACATGTTAAAAAAGCCAATGCAAAAAATAAAAAAATACATGGGAAGATACTTCTGATGGTTAGTGAACAGGCTAGAATATCAGATTAAATACTCAGCTGTGTCTGATTAAATCTATAAAAATGTAAATCTAAATCTGATTCTTAGAGGTGAATTGTGGTTTGTTTGGTTTTCATTGACTATTTTTTATCCAAAACGTTATCCATTACAGTTTTTCTCATTTCAACAGGGGAGAAAAATAACCAACCAACCCCATAACCTGGGGTCAAGTTTATCACAGATTCTATAATTTGGACCCTGTTCACTTTGGGTGTAAATTAACTTAGAGTTGCTAGTGCTGCATCTAAATGAATGAATGAAAGTACATTTAGCCTTCAAGAGAACTGTCGGTTCTTGAGGTCCATGAGGAACAGAAGTTCCACTCCTTGTCCGTCATTCCATTTGAGGACTTTAAAATCTAAATAGGTCTAAAATTAAATACTGCCAGGTTTCTAAGTGATTGCATATGACTTTTTGTATAGTACACATTATTATACTATAATACTTTAATTTGTACTGAATTAGCAGATTAGCAAACCCAGTACAGTTATCAATAATAGCATTAGCAATCTGAATCCATTACGGCTTTTGGTATCAGGTTATGAACGCCCTTTGTCTGGCTAAGGAATTTTAATACGTAATTGTTCTCAAGAGGCAGTGTGAGGATAATGGGTAGAGTCAGCCTTGAAGTCAGGAAGACCCCTTGGGTTCAAGATCTGGTTCTATCACGTTAGTTGTGTTCACCCAGGCAAATGACTTAACTTCCCCAGAGAACTTGCTAAGACCAAGAAGTTGTTGTTTTGTATTTAAAGAGTGACGGTCTATGCCTGGAGTAAACCACCCTGATGGCGAAGAACCCTCCCCTTAAAAAATTTTTCATAGAAAAAAAGTTTTGCTTTTTTTTAATACATCATATAAAATGCTTCATTGTGTATGGCTTTCTAGCTATCAATAGGAATTTTAATTTAGAGGAGGATGAAATGTGGCGAGTGATATGCCAATATATTCATTTCTTTCATTTATGAAATGGTAATTTCTACTAATATGGATCTGGTCCTCCTGCATGAAAATCAGTTTTGTAAATTAGACTGCTCATTTAGGGAGAAAAAATGGTTTACCTTTGAACAATGTTCACTAATCCCAGCAGAATGAACACTTTCAGTTGCCATTTGCAAGACTCCACACAGCAGTTTTTGTACTTAATTCCCTCTGTGTCAAGTAGAGAATATACCTCGAGAGAGAAATCATCTGGAGAGAAATTCTCACTTTTCTGACTTGATAGGGGATCAAGCTTTGGTTGGAATTGTTACAAAGAATGTTTTCTACCATTCTAATAATAGACTTGGGTAGGGATTATGTTAGAGTGAGTTAAAGAGAGACAAGTTGGAAAAATGTTGGAGTGGGAGAAATGTCTATATTTCTGTCTATAGGAATATTCTTTAAAAATGCACTTATGGAAGCTGATTTAAAAAATATTTTTATGTTACTGATATATTGATAAATACTGTTTCTTATGATGATAGAACTATTTTGATCCTTTCTGTTTATACAATATGCTTGAAGGATGCCAATCAAATTCGCTTTTTGCCAAAAGGCTTTGACCTCAATGTGTTCCTTTTAGCTCATCCAGTTTATCTTGAACAATTGGGAATGGGCACATCCCCATACTGTTACTGTTTGTTGTTAAGGAACAATATACCATGAATGAAGTTGTTACTCTTGAAACTTTATTGATGGGGACCTATTGTTTGTTTGAAATAACTTTCAGTTAGATCTTTTGTAAAATGTATGTTCCATTCTGGTGTTGTCTGCAGACCTCAGATGATCAGTAAGCCTGACATTCTGCAGAGCTCAGACGTGCCCAACGGAATATTAACCATTAATCTATGTGCAAATTCCTGTTCTTTCACTGTACCCAATTTCAGATGTTTACTTCAGTGGTAATGTTTACTACACATTTACTGCATTAAACACAAAAGAGAATGATTATTTCCAAGTATAATCAGTAAAGTCACAGTCATACTCTCCCTGTCTCTCTTTTCCTGGAATGCATACCTTTTCTTAAAGTGACACTTCAAGCGGGAATAGTAGATAGTGTTAGAATTGGAGTCAGGAAGCCCTGGTATCAGTTCCTGCCTTAAACATCAACTACTGGGACAAGAAGTCACTTATTTATAAAAATGGGGACAACAGTAGTACTTACTTTAAAGGGTTGATATGAGGATGAAATGAGAGAACATGTATAAAGTACTTTGTAAGCCTGGAGGACTATATAAATGCTAGCCATTATTATTATTAATTATTATTATTATTATTATTACAGGCTTTGTTTGGTCACCCAAAAAGATTTTTCCAATGCATAGAAGGATTTCTTTTTCTAAACCTTATTCTTTAGGAGCAGAGTTTCCAACAGATCTCTTCATTCCAATGAGGTTCTAGAGTGGCAGGCAGATAGAGGAATAATTACCCTGAACTATCCCTTTTCATGATAATAACATTTATATAGCACTTTAGGATGTCAAAGGCTCATAAACATTCTATCAGGTAGGTGGCGTAAGTATTACTCCCATTTTGCAGATAAGGAAACCCAGGTTTAGCCCTAAGACTGGCTTCAAATCCTATAGCTGGGTCAAGAACCTGGGACTTATGACTCCAAGGCCTGTCCCCTTTCCCCTGAGAATGCTCCCTCTCTTAGCATACCAACAATCCAGGAGGGGATTGATATTATTGCTACAGACATGGCTCAGAAATAAAAGTTGGGTGGAACCTACTTATTGTCTAACAGCAGGGGACTGAGCCATTTCTTTTTGAAAATCCCCTCTGGTGAGGCCCACATCTTGTTTCCTCAGAGCTGTGAGATTTCAGTCCAAAGAGCTCTTGGAAAGTCAGCTATGACATAAGTGCTCAAACATGCCTATTCTCAACAGATGAACACTGGACGTGAACCTCTCACCCTGATTTAGAAAGAGAATTGCCAAAGCTGTGGTACTAATTAGCTGTGTCTCAAGATGTGATATGGGATAAACTCAGTAAAAATCCTTCAACTATATTTGGACACATTCCACAAATTGGTAGTATCACCCTTCGGGTAGGGAAGAGAAAAGCTGAGCAGACCTGGATTCTAATTCCACCTCTAATCCACTACTGACTTTGTGAGTTTCTGTGCTTCTGGTGACACTTAAAAGACTAAACATTGCAAATCTTCATTGGTGGGGAAAATTTCCTCTGGGCTTTGTCGACACCAATGAAATCACAGGTCCAGACCAAAAAAAAAAATCAACAATTATCCCTCAAAGGAGCAGCATTTATATTTATACATGTTTAGTATGGCTCTAGGGAATTTAGGTAGACTTGATGTATGAGTCAGCATAGGGAGTACACTCTAAAAATCAAAACAGTTTTCAAAGTTCTCATGTTATATTAACATCGACATCAAATGAATAGAAATTTTTTGTTGTTTTCATCAGTAAATGGGATATAATATTAGCAGAGAGATTATTTGGTATTTCTAGTAGAACACTAGACTTATTTAAGGGGTTCCCTTCTAAGCTTTCATTTTGAGATTTCCACTGAGGGTTTTCCATTCATTTGGCACTTCCAAAATATTTCAAGCAAGTCCTTTATAGAATATCCACTCAAGTGGACAGAGCACCGGCCCTGGATTCAGTAGGACCTGAGTTCAAATACAGCCTCAGACACTTACTAGCTGTGTGACCCTGGGCAAGTCACTTAACCCCATTGCCTAGCCAAAAAAAAAAAATTATGTCCACTCGATATTTTAAGAGCAGAGAAGGACTTAGTGATGAGTTCTGTCACATCTGTGAACACAAACACTTAACCTCTTGATTTCTATATCCGAATTTACTTTCTTCAGAGTTGATGACCCCAAACCCCTCTATATTAAAGACTCCTGGACTTATTCAACAAGCCTTTGTTCCCTTTGTACGTTTAATAGTGTCCTGGGCTTTAGCACCAAAATAGCAGCACTATGGTCAGCTAGGTGGCACAGTGCCAGGCCTGGAGTCAGGAAGACTCATCTTCCTGGGTAAAAATCTGGCTTCAGACACTATCTGTGTAGCCCTGGGCAAGTCATTTAACCCTATTTGTCTCAGTTTACTCATCTATCAAATGAGCTGGAAAGGAAAATGGTAAACTACTCCAGTATCTCTACCCAAAAAGCCCCAAATGGGGTCACAAAGGGTTGGACACAACTGAAATGACTGAACAACAAAAGCAACACTGTAGAAACGTATGGAGGGATAGTATCATGAATTATACTTCCTGTCAAAGTCCCAGTATATTAGTCTTATTATTTTTTTAAATCCCGGAGAGCAGAATATATATTGCAAGACAATCATAACTATATATTGTATGCAGAATGCTCACTTGTTAGTTTGGTTTGAATACCCACCATTCCTAGCTGCTACAGAGCTTTTCCTGTGTTTTTAGTTGTTTTGTGTGAAATAAAGTCACATTCTTCCTGTTGGTAAAGCCCCAGCATTATGATAGCTCTTCACTATTTTCAATCCTAATTCTCCTTCTTGTGGTGGCTGATGCAGCTGAATTGCAAAAAAACAGTATTTCCCTGGGTTAAAAACAACAACACATGTGTAGGGGGGAAAAGTACACTTTAAAAGCCTTTTGAAAGGAAACCCAGATCTTGCAGCCTCAGTTCCTATAACCTCATTTACCTCCCCTGAAACCCTGAGCCTTAACTAAAAGTCTCCCTCAGCAAGCCAATGCAAATGATGTATTTGTTTTAGGTGTAACTATGTAAAATGTTTGCAAGAATTTAAAGAATAATATAAAATAGTTTGAGATGTAGATCATTTTCATGCACTCAAATTGAAACCATTATATACCTTAATTGGTGGAACTCATGGTTTGGTTTTTCCCACCTTCAAAAGAAGAGGTATACTGGCTTTATTTGGGGGGGGGGTGCTAAGGATATTTAGGGTATTTATTTCTATACGTCTTTTCATTTCCAAAGAGCTTGGATAAATGATATGCCTCCATTTTTTTTCCCCCCAAAATGTTAAGGCAACCAAATTTCAGTTGTTCAGCTCAATTCAATCAACCATTTTTCTCTATTGGGCAATCAATCAGCAAGCAATTATTAAGTGGTAGGCACTGGGGATACAAAGATAAGAAGAATCAGTCCTTGCCCACCTAGAGTTTATAGTCTAGTCAAGGGCAACAACTTGAACGCCAATCTGGTGGGGGTGGGGGATGGAAGGTCCTCACAGCCAAGGATGAGGAAACAGGAAAGGCTTCATGGAGCAGGTGGTGCTTGAGAAGAGCCCGGAAGGATTCTAAGAGGTAGATAGAAAGAGAGAATGCCAGGCATGTGGGACAGCTGGTAGAAAGGCTTGGAAAGAAAGGATAGAGGACAGAAAAAAGAAAGCAAAAAACAAAACTGCTCTAGGTAGGGCATGAAGGAGAAGTTCCCTAGCTTGCAGCTCTTTTGGGCATTCTAGCCCATGGGTGCAAGGGTCCTGACTGGTGAATAAGAGAAATCACATGAGGGCCTAACACTAAGTTCTATTGGGAATGGGCAGAATATTTGAGGAGCTAAGGCAATGGCCTAGTCGTGAACTATGAATGGGAAAGCATAAAAAGATACACAGAGTCCCACACAGGACATAAATCAACACGCTGCATTTTCTTTAGCAGAGCTCATTGGTGAGGGATTTAGTGCTTCAAGGATGCCGCAGATTTTTTTCACCCTAGCCTTTTCTTTTACTGGTGACACAACTTCCAAAAGTATACCCAGACAGAGTGCCTTCCTATCCAAATGACTTTGTGCTTATTTCCTGGCTACTTATACAGGGCATCCTGAAAGTCTCAGTACTAAGACTATCAGCACCCTGTATATGTACATGGTCTCCCTCTCACTAGATTATAAGGTCGTTGAGGACAAAGGTGGTTTCATTTTGGTCAAACTCCTGTTCTACTTCCCCACTCTCACCGCCCCCCCAACCAGTGCCAGGCACATAGTAGGCCTTTAATCAATATTTGTTAATTGATTGATCCAGCAACATGAGTTAACAGCAATTATTTTATTTTCTTGTGTATAACTAAGGACATTCCATACATAATGCAACAAACACATTTATTGACAGTCTGTCTGGTCCACTCTTCTTTCCGCTAGCATAGATGGTCAGCTAGAGCCATGCAATGGTGGTTTAGCAATGTGGCAAGTAGAAAGATGTCTCGGTGCTTGGCACAGTGCCTATCACATTAGGAAAAAAAGTTTGTGTTTATTTTTTAGCTACCTGTCAGGGACCTAAATCCCACCAAAGCAAATAAATTTATTCAGTACTGTCTTTTACTAAGTTACCAGGTGGGTAGCCTAACTACTAAATGGTTACCCAATGTAGCTGTGTTTCTAATTAATCTCTTTGACCCTGGACATTTTGTGTGACTAGATGTTTTAGCTCACAACTCCTGTCACTAGTTAAGGGTTTTTTTTTTTTTAAATTATCAGCAGATAATAAAAGATGAAAATGTTTACAAAGTAAAATGATTACAGTTGGAATCATACTCTGTCTAAAAAGCACCTCTGAAAAGCCATTTTCCTGATTCTCACAGATGGAGGTATAAGGTAGCAGTCTCTGACAAAACTCTGAAAATCAGAGTTTTTTCCTACTATGGCTAGACTCCCTACAGAATTCCCTCACAAAAGTCTGGCTGGTTAATCTGGTATCAATACAGTGGAGTAGAAAACCCACATTATAAAGTGGGGTTTTTCTACATCTGTGAAGAGAAATGAAAGAGAATTCTTAATTTAATAACAGCAGTGAGCTCCCTGCAAATGCATCTAAGGGAGAGTCTGGTAAATGTAGCCATCATTTAATGTTATCAGTGGTTCCCTGCTTTTTTGTGTTGAATCTGAAAAGACCCATCAGGGAACAAGTAATTCTTCATGTCCCAGGAACACTCCTAAAATCAGAAGAGGTTGATAGAGGAGATAGGTTATCACCAATCCACATAGTATCCATATGAAAGAATTCAATCTTTAACAGTTTAAGAACCAGGATGGGATGACCATGTCAGTAAACAGAGTGACTAGACACATTCTCAGAGGAAGGGCAGAAAACATCTATAAGGAGAAGATATTGCTTGGCATATGGATCCTTTCAGAGCTCATTTAAAAACTACTAATCTTTGAGGAATAATAATAGCTTATGATAAGGTTGTGGCGCTAAACTGAAAATAACAACCATTAGAAGGCTAGTTGCCATGGCAAGTGAGACTGTTTGAGAAAAGGAGACAATTTTTAAAAACAGGAAACTATTAAGACGCTAATTCAGTCAGTTATACGTCAATCACTCCTTGGCATTTGTTTTTTTAAACATGTATACATGGCCTTCCTCTGCCCCTCCCAGTGAGAAAAACCAATTCAATGACTTTTTTTTCATAAACTAAACTCCCCCCCCTTATTTTTTTAATTAATTAATTTATTTTTAGTTTTCAACATTCACTTCCATAAGCTTCTGAGTTTTAAATTTTCTCTGCCTCCCTCCCCAAGATGATGTGCAACCTGATATAGGCTATATCTATGCTTTCCTATTAAACATATTTTCACATTAGTCATGTTATAAAGAAGAATTAAAACCAATAGGAGGAACCACAAGAAAGAAGAAACCAAACAAAACAAAAAGAAAAAAAAAAGAGCAAATCGTATGCTTCGATCTGCATTCAAACTCCATAGTTCTTTTCTCTGGATGTGGATAGCGTTTTACATCATGCCCCTCCTTACTCTGAACTTCCCCTCTTCTAGCCCACCAAAATAAATGACCACTTCATGCAAATCAGTCCCTTTGCCTCTTCTTTGCCAATATGCCTATACCTGTAAAATCTTGTCAGTCAATGCACACGGAATCTCCCAGAAATCTCCACACTGATTCTTCCCAGCCTCCAATGATTCCCAACCACTGTTTTAAAAATGACACATTTTCTTCTGTTAATCCTGCTAATTTTGAGATTGCAAAACTGTTCAGGCACAAAAGTTGTTTAATTTAACAACTTAAAATTATAAGAGACAGTGTGATATAATAGAAGAATGATGAACTGGGGGCCAAAAGGGTTTGAAACCCTTCTTAATTAATAATGTGTGTCTACCTAATAACTGTATGGGCACAGGCAAGTCCTTTTACTTATCTGAACCTCAGTTTCCTTATCTCTAAAATGGGAAGAATATCTGCAATACCTACCTTACAGGGCTGTTGTGAGGATCAAACCAGATAGTCTTTGCAAACCTTACAATGCTAGGTGTCAGATATCATCATTAATAACTTTCTGTACAGTGTACTGGATCTCTTTGGTTGGAAAGAATGTGGATGAGGAAAATGTATCTTTTTGTTTTAAATAAAACCTGTGTTGAATGACACACCCAGCTGTTTAAATTTGAAACTGTGGGGTGGGGTGCAATCTCCATTTCTAAATCAATCCCATTGTTAGTCAAACCATTCTCATCCTTAGAAAAAATGCCTCAGTGTTAAAAGGTAAAACAGCACTGGCCTAACCTTCCAGTTCTTTTGAGATGTCACTTATGACAAGTTAAGTTCTTTTTATGATTTATCATTTTAAGATTAATGATCTTTTTCAGAAGGGCTATCTACCTCATTATAAGTTCATCAGTTCAACTACCACAAAGATTAATGACAATCTTATAAGAATGTATTCAAACCTGGATTCCAGATTCTCAGTTGGCATATCCCACCTGCTGGAACTAGAAAACATGTTCTTATTTTTTTTCTTGCTTTTCCTTGATGAGTCTTAAACAACACTTCCTAACAGTAGCTTGTGATTTTCTATTAATATGCTCATGCCAACAGAGGGGCTGGGGAAAAAAAAAGCTGTTTCAAGCATAATTAAAAAATGAAAAAAATTGGGGAAATGCTTCAGCCACCATTGGCGATAACCCAATTTGAGTGGGAACCATTTTAAAAGTGGATTCAAGTTCTATATATTGTTGCAGATTAGTAATACCTCAGTGGTATCTCTCTATAATAGATCATAGGCCACTTTTTCAGTTCTTGATTTGGCAAATGATTTCTAACATATAACCAAATAATTTATTTTGCTCTTCTAAAATGAGAAAACAAAAAATAATCAGTACAAATATACTACATATTCAACACCACAAAGATAAAGGTATTTTCAGAATCAGTTACTTATACCAAGAGTACACCATGGATTCTCACACATTATGCATTTCAAAGAAAAAATATATATCTTGTAATAAAAAATCTTCATTTTGCAATTTTAAAAATGTAAAATTTAGAAAATTAAGCTATAAATATTTCTTTTAAAAAACAAGTAAAAATAGTCCTATTTTTCCTCCAACAACTGAATTTGAATTGAACTTTCCTAACTCCGTATGTTGTGCTTGGAGCTTTCATAAACTGGAAAAAATGTAAAGGCTAAAATATGAAGAAATAAATTAGTAGCTAGAGTGAATTTTCAATCTTCAGACATTTTTTACCAGGAACGAAAGCATTAAAACATACCCTTATAACGGTATCTGATTCTCTAGTACCCAAAGTTCCCGAAAGATAAAGCTGGCAATGATTTTATTAATGTGTCTGCAAAACAGTACTGAAGATATGCTTAAATTCACCTTAGTACGTACTCACCAATGGGTTACGGGTGCTCAATATAAAATATGTGGCTTCCCAGCTTTATTGATGAACATAGCATGCAATTATTGAATTATATAAGATCACATGAACTATAAATTTCACAAAATTCTCTTACCAGAATCCTCCTGCCATATAAAAATGTCTTCCACAGAAGGGATATGCTGTACCTCAAAAACCACTCTGTGCTTAAAATCACATAACACGACACCCCAAATCCCTTTCTAACTAGATCATGTTACTACCTGTATTTCATATATGGAAACACATTGTGTTAAGGCAATTAAACATCAAAGTATATTCTGCCATCATAACTTTAAGAATCTAATTTGGAATTTCTTGCAATTTGGTTATCAGGAATAGTTCAGTACCCCATGTCAACAATTTTGAAGTTGTCGGGTTCCTATCATCTATCTAACTCCAACAATGTCATCACTGACCCTCTAATTCAAGCCATATTCATTGTAAAAACAAATTATCATTCTAAGTCTTGCTCTCTAGATGTTGGCAGGAGGTGTGGGAGAGTGCCTGGGGGAAGGAGTGCCTCATGTCACTCAAAAATGACCCCTTCCTGCTGATTAAGGAGAAACATTGACAGGCTCTCATCAAGCTCTCTCTCTCTCTTAACTGGAAAGGTGTGTGCATGCATATGGATTGCACCCTCCCCTGATGATTACTGCACATGATGGTGTCCATCTGAGAGAAGCTATGTTCTAGGTTTTACAGTAAACAAAAATGGCATACCTTTCATGGGCATGTTAGAAACACATTGGGTTGGTCAACCTAGTCCATGGGTGGGGGTGAGCTGGGGCTTGGGAATGGCTGATTTACATGCACACCACATATGGTGTTATGAAAGATAATCCTGAGTGAAGAAAACTATGACACTGAGAACAGAAATTGAGCTTCTGATACCACAATAAGGATTACTTCATGTCTTACACATCACATAAAGGTTTCACTTAGAAAAGGTACAAGGTACCAGGGTAACTGCAAATAATAATGGCTCATATTTATCAAGTATTTTATGGTTATAAAGTGTTTTCTTCACAATTATCTTGGGTAGTTTATTATCTCCATTTTTCATAAGGCCCAGAGACTGACTTGTCAAATTATGTCAAGGTCACTCAGAAATGCAAGTCATTTGCTTCCAAGACTAGAACTCTCTCAACATTTGATCTATAGATTTAGGAAAGCATCATTTAAACTACGAGTACTGGGGCTTTGTTTCTGAGGCATAAAGCTGAAAGGCAACTTTAAAACAAATTTTTTTCTGTTTATTTGCTCAGAAAATTAAGAACATTTAAACACTTGTCCTCTTTCATCCTTTGCAGTCAATGCAAAGACAACTGAGAAGCCAAGTAGTGTAGTAGATGGATCCGAAGTCAGGAAGCCATGGTTTCAGATCCTGCCTCTGACAAATACTAATTATGTGGCTATGGGCAAGTCAGCTCTCAGAGCCACAGGCAATCTAAGACTGTAAGTTATAAAGATAAGTTGCCAATCTGCATCCATGGAAATAATTTTCTTATAGGGAATATTCTATATAGATGAAATCACAGATCTAGTCCAAAAAAAAAAAAAAGAAAATTAAAAAAAAAGGTTACAGCTTCATACATGGATGATCTGTTGGAATATCCAGTAAAAATAAAACTAAACAACAGAAAAAACAATGCTGAACTTTCGTTAAGTACACTCTTACTATCAATGCTATAACTCGACTCTCTTTTTAGGCACTGTACATAACTTTTTTCAAGTCATCTTGAAATGAAAACTTGTGTTGACAGCTTATGCTTTTAAAACACAAATATGAAAATTAAGTTTCTCATAGCATGGTTAAGACACATTATACAAGTTAAACCATATTAACTCAGGTGGAAATTTGAAATTTCATCAAACTTAAAAATCATGAAAGTATGAACTTCTCTCTGGCGAGGACTACCTGTTTCAAAGGTTTTCATAAATCCTAATAATGCCTAGCACTGTGACATGTACATAGGAGATATATAGCAATTTTAAAAAGATGAGAATGAAAGCCAGGAAGGTAATTTTACCTTGCATCTAATTCAAATTATGTCAATGTACATATCTTATACTTTATTCATGGTAAGAGAAAGCTGACAGGTACAAAATTCATTTAGAAAATAAACACTGCAACTAAAAGAAAACATTTTCATGATGATTCAGTATAGAAAAATCCACTATTTTCCCATTACAACGAAAAAAACGACAGTCTAAATGAACTACTCTAGACAGGGCATGTGTTATACTCACAAATTTATCTCCTCTGCCTTGCCCTGTTTCCCTTACTTTGATAAACTATCTTCTCCATATTCAGTTTTCATTCCTTTAGTTTATTTTGTAGTGTTCATTAAGAGGAAAGAGGTGTATCAGGCAGGATCACAGTACGAGGAAAAAAAAACAAATATAAGTGATGATTTAGAGTAAACTGAACATTTTACTGATGAGGCCACTGAGATACAGAGAGGATATGACCTGCTCAACAGCCAGCTTGTTAGTCCTGGTATGGACCAGACTAAAATTTAGATTCCCCAATGTCTTGTCCAGTGCTTACTTTATTATATCATACTACATCTCTATGCAGTATGACAGATATTAAAACGTGATATTTCCTAGACTAGCTTATGTGTAAACATAAACTTTTAAATATAACATAGGAAAAGCATGAAAAGAACAGCATTTAACCAGAATTGATCCATTACTATAGGGAATGACAATGAGATTATAACCTCTCTAACTGATCACTGAGTATCTATGCCTTGTGAAAAGATCTGTTTCTATGATAAAAATCAAAGTGTGCAGATTAATTGCTGTGAGGTTATACATAGAAGCTGCATGAAAGCTAAATGGAAGTCTTCATGTCTCTGTGCCAGCTGTAGAAAAATATAACATTCCCACTAGTGGCTGTGACCGTCCATGCTTTCACTTTTAGCTTTATCACGAATCGCTAGAAGGAAAGGATCTCAAACGGAAACATTTCTAACCTGTGTCGTCATACAGCACAGAAAGACCTTGGATCAACTTAATCTACCGCTTCATTGCCTACTTGTAGCAGCAACACACCTTGTGTACATATGCAGGAGATACAGACGGATTCAGGCTTATTCTCTTCCCACTAAAGCATCAGTTTATGCTGCAAACTTTAGAAATAGTTATTTTAGGAAAAACACAGAATTGAAAGGAATCTGATCTGATGATCAATATGCTGAATAAAAAAACATTTCCCATTGATGTCCTTAAAAGTGAATATGCGTATATAATTGCGTTGATATCTGCCAGGACTCTCAGATACGTACGGAAGAGAGAAAATAATTTCACTAGGTTTTAATAAGCATTTAGATGAAGAGGGTTACAGCACAAACAAGAATAACTTTTTAAAAATACAATATAATTTTTAAAATTGCTATTCAATTTGTAAATAATTTGCATTTCTCTTTTGGAGAGCAGAGTTAACATACTTTTTTTCTGAAAAAGGAGTTATCTAATAAGCACCTCTAAAACAAAAAATGTCAAAGATTGTGTCTATAAATATAGAATTTAAACTATTTTAGAAGGTCTATAAATATTAACTAGTGAAAAGTCTCTGACTGCTCTAGCATAGTCTTTAGTGTCATTAGTAAGGCCTGTGTCTGAACTCCAGGAAACACTTTCAAGTTCTCAGGGATCTCCTTAAGGAGACTGGGGAGCTTCTGCAGTGTCACAAGATCTCTAGCATAGAGATCCATAATCCAGTCAATATGGACACTGGTGGCATCCTTGCAAGTCCTAGGAGAAGTAAACAATCTTTCATGTAGATGAGTTAACTCCTTAAAAACAGAGAAGCCTGAAAACAAGTTGAATATTGAACAAAAATTCAACAGCATTCTACTGAATAAGAATGAGCCGAATTCAATCTGCTGCTGGTAGAAATGTTCCTCTGCTTGTGCTTGAAGGTCCTCAGTGGAACCTTGGACTTGTAGGATGGCCAGGAGGTCTTCTTTGATTTGGGGAGCTAGAACGTAATCCAAAGGCAGTTTTCCTTTAGAAGTCCTCTGCTGAAGAAGTACGGAGCCTGGAAAAGTGATGCAAAGAGCTAAGTAACATTTACAGCTAGCTCTGGCACTAACTCGGGTGGATACAATTAGTCAAGGCCCTTCAGAAAAAAAAAATTCAAATCAATTGCCTAATTTGAAAATGGCATAAAAGTGTATTTGCATTAGTTTACAACAAATCTATGACGTACAAATTAAAAAAAAAAGATTTTGAGAAATTTTACAGATTGGTGTTAAAAAATGATGCTGCTTCCAAGATTAAGAAAGCATATGTACCTGTCTAGAGGATAATAAGTGCACACACGCACAGACACACAGACACAGACAGACAGACAGACAGACACACACACCCTAACACATACATAAAAGATAAAATACAAACTCATTAGCCTGGCACTTAGGGGCCTACACAATTTGGCTCCCATTTCTACAGCCCTTATTTCATATTTCTCCCTTTCACAAACTCTATACATATTCCAACTTGACTAGACTACTATTTATTACCTGGGCTTGATATTCCATATGAGCTTTGCCCATGTGAACAAGCCATTCCCCGTACCGAGAATATCTCTTCCCCCTCATTTTCATCTCTCTGAATCCTTGTTTTTCTTCCCGACTCAAGGAGGTATCATTTCTATGAAGGCTTTCCTCATTTCCTCCCCAATATAGTAACGACTAGTAGCGTTCCTTCTCTTTTCAATTTTCCCTCTTTTTATACATGTATCCTCTAAGTAGAATGTAAGCCCCTTGAGGGAAGAAGCTTTTTTTTTTTGGTCTTTTTATCCCCAATATCCAGCACAGAGCCTTGAGGGTACTAAAAATATGTACTTAACAAGTTCATTGAATTGGATTATTAATCTGATACTGTTAGAAATGTGCTTAAACATCCTGAACTATTCAGAATATGCCATGGTAACGTACTACCCATAAGGAAACTAAATAAAAGCAGCAGAATTGGAGGTCTAGGAAAAAATGTGCTGGGTAGAGGGACTATTCTTCAACAGCAGCATGTCTTTCACGGTCTACCTTGAACGTGTGGCCGAGTGATCAAAAAACAAAAACAAAACCAGAACACCCTTAAACTATGAACTGCCCCAAATTACAGCCCATATACTCTATCCAAACATGTGTATCTTCCTGCTTGGAAGTTACCGCAGCCCTCCCCATCCCTTTCCCTGGTAGGATTGGTTGGTAGCACAGGTGAAATATGAGAGCAGCAGAATATCAACAATGTTGTATTTGGTTAAACTTCAGTAAACAAATGGTAAAGCACCCGATCTGTTTCACGGACTGTGCCAGGTTTAATTTTTATGCATTTCAACATTTGGAAAACAACTGTTGTAAGAGCTATAAAAGATTTTTTTCTCCTTTTTTAAGGTAGCAGGAAAGCTATAATACAAAATTCATGATCTAGTTATTTGTTAGCAACATTTATGCTTACCTAAAATACTGTTTTTAGAAGGAAAAAAAGTTTTTAGCTAATGTATTGGCCTATTTTTAAAAATACATAGTTTCACCTTCAACATAATTACATATATATGTATATATACATATACATATATTTTATATAGAATAACACAATAACTGATGAAATAAGATTAATGTCTAGCTAGCTTAAGGTCAAACGGTCTTTTGAAGTACTACATTGCTTTGCAGTGTGCTGAATGAACAATTAAAAAATAAGTACTAAAACCAAAAAAAAAAAAAAAGGTGACAGTAAGCTAAGTTCTTATAGGAATTTTAAAAAAAGGACTCCATCTGACTTCTCCTGAGCCTGAATGAATCCACAATGAATATGTAAAGTAGTATGTGCCATGGCCGTGTCAAACTCCCTGACAGGCCCAAACCTAGAATGTGACAAAGGCAAAGACAGGACTGCATTCAACCTCTAGAGTAGCTAGAGGTCCTTGATGAATGCAACTGCAAGTAGATCTTTCCCTTAGGACAAGAAGATCATCCATTTCCTATTCTTCACTAAAGGCCTTGGAAAAATGCACATCTGTCAGTGTAATGCCATTCTCTATTGGAAAGTTCAGTTTACTCTATCACACTGGTACACTGATTCTTGCATCACTTGAACCAATTGGAGAGTGGGCAAGTATTGGCTTGACATGTCAAATACAAGATTTGGTAGATAAATAAAACACCTGGGAGACAGTACATTGAGATTCAGTAAACAGAGAGTACAAGAGGAATGTAGAAGAGTCCAGGAATGTATCGATTGCAAGATGGTGTCAGCACCATAGACACACAGGGCAGCCTTTAGGGGGCAGGAGAAGACTATAAATAACCAGAAGTCTTAGGCTGCTAGTTTTGCCCTTTTTAAAGCTGGACGTAGTTAGAAGACATCCAAATGCAGCACACTTTTGTATTTTCATAAAGATATGAATGTTTTAACTACCAAAAATATCGAAGCTATACACTTGAATTTAATCAGGCTCATATGAATTTAATAGCAAATACATATACATCCTTGTTTATTTCCCTTTGTCCCACACCCCTCCCCATGTATTTTTTAATGTTTTGATCTAAAATTTCTGTTATCCAGCTCAGACCAAATAGTGTGTCACTTAAAAAGGCAGAGGCTTGCTGAGAGCATAGATCATAAATCGGCACAGGGAATGGTTTGTTAAGGTATAATCCACCCATATTCATCCCCTCAAAAACCTCTAACCAGCATTTATCACGATTACAAAGTCCTCACTTTAACTCAATTATCAACTTAGCTGACCTGATAAAATGCTATTAATACTGAAAATCATTTTAGTGAGATACAAGAAAATAAATCTTAAAAATAAAATTAGTCAAGTCAGTAACAAAATAGAAGAAATTGCAGGGACATTAAAGAAATCTACAGACTAACAGCTAACCATATACATTCATTTATTAATAAACCTTTCAGAATTGACTACCTCATCAAAAGACCACACTAGACTTGAAGTAAATCCATTTTTAAAGCCCACATACCCAATTCACAAGTGTATTCTGCTACACTGGTTTAAACAACAGTTTCAATATAATGAATAAATGTACAGATTTTAAAAAGGCTTTTATCCATGTTGACAAAATGGTGCTTGTTTTCAAAAGGAGATCTTTTTTTTCCCCTTTGTATTTTTTAAAGGCATTCTTCTTTATGGAAGCTAAAAAGGAAGTGTTATCAACTTCTGAGGGATTCATCAAAAATTGGATAATTTCACAAAACCAGTTTAGCATAAATGCACTCACCCCCATGCTGGAGTAGCAGCTTGCCAATTTCTACATGTCCGTTTGACAGTGCATCATGCAAAGGAGTCACCCCGTCCACTTGAGTGAGCAGATCTACCTCTGGACAACGTTGCAAAATTTCCTGGACACACACTGTGTTGCCATGGTTACAGGCTTCATGCAAAGGCGTCCAGCCAGCATAGTCTGAATTAGAAATCAAGGGAAGTTTTAAAACAGCAAAAGTAGGAGTTATTCAATGATAAAGTAGACCTATCCTGCTTCTCTCTCCAGCATAACTCTTCAATATATCACTCAGTACCAGAAGGCTCCTTTCGTACAACTGCTTGGGCTATATTCTCGTATCTCTCTTTTAAAGGGGGAAAAAGGATCTGTATGATGATCATTTTCCAAATTAGTTTAGAGATCCGACCACAAATATGTATAACAATGATGATTTTTTTCTCTTATATAGACTTTGGTTATAATCCATTCTCCCTCCCCTCCTCCTCTCTTCTGCCCTTCTCCCACCCCACCCCATCACCCCCACTTTAGCATTCTTGGTTTCAATAATGACTCAATACCATCAAGTAAAGTACGGTTAGGTTTCCTTGCATCTTTTCTTAATATTAGCATGCAACTATTTCATAATCAAAATCAGGATTATCCTCAGATTTGATTAGACAGTGAAGATTCAGAACTTACCTTTTACATTAATATCTGTTCCTGGCAAAGAGAGAAGAAGAATCAATTTCTCCACTTGGTTATTTATGCAAGCTCTATGCAGGGCTGTCTCTCCTACCATAAAAAATTAATAGATTATTCCAGAGAAGGCAAGATATCAACTAAAAGAAATAATCAGAATGCATGGAACTAGGCATTCTGGCTCTGTGCCAAAACAGTCAATAACGAATAAGATTTTCCTTTTTGTCCAGGTTAAATATCTTTTAGGATAATTTAAAAAAAAAAATGTGTGGAGGAACAACAACAACCCCCCCACACACACAACCCACAGAGCTTCTGTTCCATCAGAGATCCAGCAATGAAATTCTACGGAAAATGGTTTAACACAGAAATTATCTCCCCTTAGTTCAAGGTTTAAAGCTTCAATCCCACTATAAAAGCTCTGAATGATCACAGAACACCAAAAATACTGGGTTTTGAAGCAATAAAAGTTTAGAGTGCAGTTGCCCTCTCTTAAATTTATTCATGAACCTACGTTAAATGTATGGCTCTTTTTACACAGCATTTATAGCTTAATTCAAATGAATGTTTCTGGCTAAGCACGAGTGCCTCTACACACTCAAGTATAATTCAGAACTTCAAATCCATTAACAGATGGTTTGCTGCTTCTCAATAGGCTGTCTGGCTTGGCTACAGCAGCACAGAAAGGGAGAAATGAAGGAATCTTAATATAAACACACACACACACACACACACACACACACACACACACACACACACA